TATTACTAATTGAGCTGATGAAGCAAAGTTTTCGATCTTATTACTGATTAAGCAGATATTACCAGGTTATTAATATTTGAGAGTAACTCATTGCGTGAATTCAAAAGTATAACGAGAAATAGCATGCTAAATCCAATTTATAATAAAACTGAAAGGCTAAGTATGGTAAAAATTTCTGTGTAATAGCACAAATGAGCAGTATTAAGTCAATCAATAATATAAAGCAATAAGCATCAGGTTCCAATTACAGAGCCCTTTCGCACAACACTAAAAACATTAAACCACTCAATTTCACCAAAAAAAGTTTTTTGTCATTTTTTTTGTAAATTTTTTTCTAAAAAAAAAAACTGTTTTTGTAAAGATATGTTTAATTTTTTTCTCTGATAGAAATAGTATATAATAGATTCTAATAATTTGCGGGAATGTTGATGAGGCATGACAATAGTTGCTGGCAATAGTTTTGTTCTTTTTTTTTACAAATTGGTGTTATGCAGACTTGAATGCGGGAAATCTCATTTAATTAATAGTAAAAATATCCTGAAAATGTTTATTGAGATGATTAGCAATCTTTACTGGATCATAGGATAAATCACCATTAGGCACTTTCATTGCTTTTATTGAGTTCTTGATTGAAGAATTACATGCTTCAGAAAAACCAAGTCATTGGACGCTTTAAATTTCTTGAATCCACCCCAATGAACGGAAAGAGGAAATCAGTATAATTTTTGTTAAGCCTTAAGTCCTATGGAGTAAAAAAATTAACTTTTTACTTGTATCTGATCTAGTAATTTTTTTTAAATTAACAAAACTTTTGAAAGACTATGAATGCTGCAAAAAGTAATAAAACTTTAATAAATTACTAAACTGTTTGGTATCACTAATATTAAAAGCGAGTGATTGTACAAAACGGATGATAACCTGTATAAACTGCAAACTGAGAGTAAAGACTAGTTTAGTTGTTCTACTTGCAAATATACTAGTGCCAAGATCATCCAACCATCTAAGAAAAAGAAAGTAACCAAAGCGACATTGTTAACAGCTTCCAGCTCAACGCCATTTTATTAGTCTAAACGTAGCATAGACTTCAAATTATTCAAAAATAGCACAAAACGCTTTTTGGGATGATGAGATTGCAGCATCAACGAGCAAAAGAAAGCAGTACCCATCAGGCGTTGCAAAACGCTTTGTTACAACCTTAAAGCGGTCTTCCATGGAGCAGCAAAGGCGTATTGCTAGCTTTCTGGTAAAGGCATTGAAATCCCAACTCATGCCAATAACCAATATACTATGCTATATACAAATAAACTGAAAGAAACACTTGGTCAGCACGCTTCAACTGGAGAAATTACGCATATACTTTGACAGCAAACATATTGATGACTTCGAATATCAGGCTGTGGTCCTCGAGAATGAAGCAAAATAAATTAACTTGACTGCGCTCAAACTAAGCAAAGTAAAAAATGTAAAAGCTTAAACAATCACAGAAGGAATTTACAATGGGTTTAAAGAATTCAACCAGTGGGGAATAGTTGTAATGGTTGTTGCTAATATAATATGTGTAAATACTAGTAGGAATGTGAAGACAGGCATTGCTGTTCAGCTGCACCAAAATATTTGAAAAGAAAGGTTAGGACAAACCCAAGTTTATCAGTTGCCTTCACCAAAAACTCAATTGCATTTTTCGCGTTGTCATGAAAGATGAATTCAATGGATTGACAAAATCAACAAATATTGAGTACTTTTTTGTAAAGGATTTTATGAGCAATTATGATAAAATAAAATCAGCCTTCAGCAATGGTAATATTGAAATTAAGGAAAAAAGTGGCTGGAGAGACAACATGAAGTTTCTTTACGCTCTTAAACGTGTCCATTATAACACTGAGATGAATGAGATACCCTTTGTAAACTTTTAAAAGATCCCTAACATCAGCAATTTATGCTGAAACTCTCAAGCCTTTTCTGTAATCACTCTAAAAGCCGTAAAAAGTGTAAAATGTGTTTGTTCAATTTGTACTCATGAGCCAATTATTGGTTTATTAGTCAAATGTTCCACGCTAAAGGTTTTGATGTACAATCTATAGTGCTGAATGACTGTTAAAAAGGTTTCAGATGCTTTTAAAACCACTAGAAAACATACAAATTAATAATCAACATTGCCTAAAGCAACCAGTGCTGTGAGCGTGGCATCAAAGTTTTGTCAGACCTGTATGACTTCTGGTACAAAAAGGACAACCTCTCACTAAGATTCATTATTTTGAATGACAGCATAGTAAATAATAGACTTCCTTGTTTGTTCTCTCTCTCTCTCTCTCTCTTTCTCTCTCTCTCTCTCTCTCTCTCTCTCTCTCTCTCTCTCTCTTTCACTGCTTAGCAACAAACACTTTACCTTTTCCTCAATTTTTTTGGAAAAAAATTTCATTATTTTTTTGAGGTCCTTTACTTTGACCATTTTCTTCTCAATAATAAATATTGTTTTTAACTTAATTAAATTAAATTTTAATAGATTATAAAATCCTCTTTCAAATAAATATAAAGGCTTTTTGCGTGCATGAAATAAGTTACAAAATAAATGCAATTAAAATTTGTCCGAAATTTAATTTATAGGGTGTTATAAAACTAAAAGTTAGATTTCATCCAGTGCCAACGTTGTTTTTGAATCGAGAAAAGGCAGATATACAAATATATATTTGCATATTTTATGAGAATTGTTTTTCATACAAGTACATTGGTTGATAACAAAAGTTTATTTTTCTAGTATATTTTTCTTTTTCTTATCTAACGAAATATCAAGCCATAAGCAAAACAAAAACACAAACAATACCTCTTTATTCGAATGTATAATAGTAACATAACCAAACGTCATCAACAATGCCGGTTCATCAAAAAAATTGAAATATGTTTGTATAAGGACATATATACAATTATATATGCATATAAATATATAATATTTAATGTTTATATATGCATACTAAAATTTAAAACAAGTAGTAACTTAATTCCAATAAAAGTAAAAGTGTAACATTGTGCAAACGTAAATACAACGTTAAATAAAAAAACATACAACGTTTCACAAACCTCAATTACATTTTTGTGCTAACGTAAAATACAACAGTATTTAAAAGGTATAGCATTTGTAAAGTGGTTTTAAAAATAGATTATTCTTGCTGCTGATTTAGGAGACATTCAAGTATAGATTTGACGGATTTTATAAAAAATAGCAATTTTTCTTGTGATTTTATTGTGAATATATTGAACATAATCTCTACAGAATAAGTTTTTAGTTTTATTAAAACACCATGTAATTTGGTTGTGAAATAGGGCTCAATTTTGATGTTATTTGTAAATAACTTTGGTAAGGATGTATGAATATATTGAAAGTATGAATATAGTATTTAAAGATGTTAATAAACTAAAAAAAAGAATTTTTTTAAATAAAACTATATATAGTAAAAGTTAAAAAAATAAACTTTAAAGATGTGAAACAAACTGGCTGAAAGCTCACTAGGGGAGAGTTTAAGCCAGTTTTTAATATTTGTTCTAGTTCTTTGTTTATAACTTGAATTAGAGAGATAATGTTACTGAAAGAATAGAATAAAGTGGTGTCGTCTGCAAAAGACGTAGTGATGCTCCATAATGATCCTTGACATAAATTAAAAACAGTAGTGGACCTTAGATGGAGTCTTGTGGAACCCAACATAATATTTGAATTTTATTTGTCTGAAAATGGTCATGTAGAGCTAAAAACTGTTTCCAATGAATTTAGTAACTGGTAAACTATTTTTGGTAATCATGACATACTCAAAAATATTTTAGTTTTTCTTGTAAAATTTAATTATTAAAGGTGTCAATGCTTTTGACAAAATTAGAAATAGTGATTATATTACAGGAAGGTGCTCCACCATTAACTTCAACTAATTTTATAAGCTCCGTAGAGTGACAACTATATTGGTTACAGTAGAGAAGATTGTTTTCACTAAAAAATCCGAAAAGTCCATTTCACCTGAAACTCTTGAAAAGTTTTAAAAAAACGATTAACGTCAATATAGCTCAATAATTTGTAACTAGACTTTTATCACCTGTTTAAAAATTGGGTTGAATCATTGCAACTTTCAGTTTATTTGTAAAAAACCTATTCTGAGCAATTTGTTCAAAATATTTAAAAACACTTATTAAATAAGCATAAAAAAACATATAATATTCTTTTTTTTCAAATACTTACGTCCAAAATTATTTAAAGTTTTTTAAAGTCTTCAGTAAAACTACGAAATTTTAATAAAACACTAAGAATTGATCAGAAAAATATATTTTAAATGTTTTAAGGAAAAGAGTGGCTTTGTTCAGTAGTAACTTCGTCCGATTCAAAGCATGAAGTGTTGAGCTTGTTTGTTTTGTACAGCTGATCTTAATTATGCTTTTATTTTATTTAAGTATAGTCAATACTTGCAGTTTGCTTTTAGAATATTTTAGAAGAAGGTGCAAAATTAGATGTTGTTAGTGGCTATTTGTGGAAAATTCGAGTAAAATTGTTTTTACTAATACTGTAGCGAGTCTTTATTTTTACCGCAGTAAAAAGTTAAGGCTTATATATGTGTTTAATATCATTTTAGTTCTATAAATACTTTTTTAATAATTTTCTAAAAAATAAGTACCAATCACTACCTTTAGCCAAATGTAGGAACAGTGTTTAAAAAAAAATTAAACTTTTTTTTTTTGATAATAAAGTCATCTTTTTTAGGTGTAAAAAAAGAAAATAATAATGAAAGGTGAAGTCTTAAATATTGAAACAAATTTGTATTGTGAAAAATATTTTAAAACATTTAAAATTTTAAAAGCCCAGTTTAGACATTTTTTAAATAGTATTAATAATTGCGTCTAAATTAAAACATTTTTTTAACTATTAAATGAAGTATGATGAAAAATTTGAATGCTTTAAATGTTGTGATTTCTTTTTCGCTTTTATAAACTGTTTTATTGTTTTTAAAAAATTATTTTAATTTTAGATAAAAGATCATCAGTCACTGCTGCTATTTCAATCCCAGTGTCAGTTATTCTTTTTATACTTGCTCTCGTTGTTGTTTTATTAAAAGTATCTAAAAGACGAAATAAGAATCAATCTTTTTGGGATACAAGATCTTACTCAATGAAGTGAGTACTATTGATTTTAAATAAAAAGTCCACATTTATAGAAGATAAAAAGATAAGGCTTTATCAAAAAGCTCCTAAGATAGTTGAATAAATTGTGACTAAAAACATAAGAAAATAAGTCATTTAAATTTACCTTGAAGAAATCATTTATGAAGATAATTTTTATGCTATTTATAGCAGTTGCAGCACAGTTATTAGTTTTTTGATTCAGAAGATGTTTAGGGTTGTATTTTAGCTCTAGTCAGATTAGCGACACTAGAATGGGAAGATATATAAACTTCTTTGTCTAATGCTCTTCCACGTTGCTCTGTGACTAGACTGTTAGGGCTTTATGAAGAATCTTAATAACGACACACACAAATATATATATATATATATATATATATATATATATATATATATATATATATATATATATATATGTATGTATATATATATATATATATATATATATATATATATATATATATATATATATATATATGTATGTATATATATATATGTATATATATATATTTATATATTTGTATATATATATATATATATATATATATATATATATATATATATATATATATATATATATATATATATATATATATATATATGTATGTATATATATATATATATATATATATATATATATATATATATATATATATATATATATATATATATATATATATATATATATGTATATATATATATATATATATATATATATATATATATATATATATATGTATATATATATATATATATATATATATATATTTGTATATATATATATATATATATATATATATATATATATATATATATATATATATATATATATATATATATATATATATATATATATATATATATATATATATATATATATATATATATGTATAGGTTATATACGTTTTTTAACCTATACATAAATATATATATATATATATATATATATATATATATATATATATATATATATATATATATATATATATATATATATATATATATATATGTATAGGTTAAAAAACGTTTTTTCTACCTATTTTACCTTTTAAAAATTATAAAATATTCTGGTAATCTTTGTCAGTTTCTTTGAATATATAAATGTATTTTTAAAACATGTTCAGTAAAACTATTCTGTTTTTTTTTTTGCTTTTTTTTAATAGCATATACTTAATTTATAATTAGGCCAATTTCTACCATTAGGCAAGACTAAACTTTCACTTTTGCAATTAGGTTCATTGTTTTTGGGTCTTGTTTTTCTTTTTTCTTGTTTTTCTTTCATTTTCTATTTTAATCAATCATTTTGTGATTTTTTTGATTTCACTTTTATCTTGATTTCCTTTCGTTTTATATTTGGTTTGGTCATTTTGTGGTTATTATTTAAACGACATTAAACGAGCTGTATACACCTTATTTTCTTTAAGGTTTAAAGTTTTAAAAATAGCACTGGGAAAAACTCTCAGGTGCGCCGATAAAAAAAATAAAAGCAGATAAAGTGATCAAACAAACAATATTCAAATATTTTATGTATATTAGATTGTTCGTTCAAAATCAAAGCAATCAGGCCTAAACTCCAAGATTTAAAAAGAAGGCAACATTATCCTTAAAAAAAAACCATCTTTTTAAAAGGATATAGACGCAACAACCCTTTTTTCCGAAATGTTTTACAAATATTGTTTACAAAAAAGATAAAATCCTGGAAAATATACAATGTTATATATATTAAAACAAATTAATAAATAGGTTTTCTTTTCAGTTTAACGATTTTATGAGAAGAGAGGAGTTGATATAAATTATGGCTATTTAAAACCTATATCTAAGCGGTTCCATTAGCCAAGAAAAAGCTCTAGGACATGTTAGAATTTGGATTAAAGAAGAAATAGCTGTTTAGCCGTCAAACCGTCTTAAAAACAATGATTATATAAAAGAGATTTCATAACTATACTTTTTTAGCAATTACTTTTTTCCAACGGTATACCTTATTACGGTTTACTTTATTTCCAACGGTATACCTTATTTCACACGGTGTATCTTATTTCCAAAACTACTTACAACGGTATACCTTATTTCCAACAGTATACCTATTAACAAACCAACAAAAAATTAATATATAATAATTAATAAAGGTATACCACCTTTATTAGTTTTTTTATATTATTTTTTTGTTAAGAACAAGATGCGCAATATATGCAGTGTTTATTTTTTTAACTTATAGAGTGAAATATGAATGCATCTATGCCTCTCGGCGGTATTCTGTACTCTTGCATGCTCAATACATAGAAGAAGGAAAGAAAGGTGGGATGGGGGAGGGGGAAGTTTTAGAGATTTTAGTACAGATCTCATAAATAGGGGTTTTAAAAATTAATAAATGTTCCATTAATTTGATAGGCCCCTGAGTTTAAACAACGGAATAAAGTGCATTAAATTGACATAAATAATCCAGTAAAATAGCCAGGGTAAAAAAAATTTAAACGTTGCTGCTAAAATAAAAAACAATCGAAAATGATACTCCTTAAATCTAACTAGTATTGCAATTTTTACTAACAATACAGTTGTGAAAATAAACAAAAAAATTTTTTTTTTTAATTTTCACATTAAAAAGGAGCCGCACTTTTAATTCTCGCTTAGGACAACAATATACTAGGAATATAAAAGTTATTAGGAATGGTCCTGTGGATAATTTTGTATCAGTATATCAAAACATAAATGCTAAAAAATTATTTATTAATTAGGAAAGGCTCAACTAAATTTAATTAACTGGGCTAAATTATGCCATAAATGACAAAACATATATATTGATAACAAATATGTTATTTAAGTATTAAAAAAATCTGGTTTGTGTTAAAATGACGGATTTATAAATTTTCATACCTTCATGTTTGTATATATATATATATATATATATATATATATATATATATATATATATATATATATATATATATATATATATATATATATATATATATATATATATATATATATATATATATATATATGTATATATATATATATATATATATATATATATATATATATATATATATATATATATATATATATATATATATATATATACATATACTTCCTGGTTAAATGCACCGCGGAAGTGCATTAAACCAGGAAGTACACGCCTCACGCCTTCTTCCTTACTGTGACATAAAATATGTCCAAAGCTCGTTATGAACCTGGTACTCTTACAAAGCAAACGTTCTAACCACTGCGCCATGGCTGTCCATGATTAGAGCACGCTTTGGAGCTGTACCATCATTAGGAGATAATAAAATGAGTTGCCTAGTTATAAAAACAGAGACCCAATCAATACTCATGCATTGAGTCAAGCAGATCCAGCATTCAACATCCTAAACTAAAATCTGCTTACCAAAACACATGTTGAATGTTAGATCATCTTAATTCAATTCATGAGTTTTGCTTGTGTCTCTATTTTTATACTAGGCAACTCATTTTATTATCTCCTAAAGAGGGTACAGCTCTAAAACTCAGTTTTATGGCTCTGAGGCTGGCTGGTAGTTAGGTTTCTTGAACCTGGTGGTAGCTATTGGAGAGTCTGATTCCGTCAACTGTAAAGTATCAGAGTTCTAACAGCGTTATGTTGCGCATGGATGGTATCCCAATTCGTAATTTGGTGTACATTATCAAAGCCACATTTGGAGTTCTTTCTAACTGCTTAGCGTTTATTAAAAGTAATGGGGTAGTTTTTTGGTTTGTGAAATATTGTACTGAGTACTATCTATGCGTTGAGTAAAGTTCTTTAAGAAACTTAAAAAAAACCAAAGTGCAAAAAAAATAAAACACAAAAATACTATCGTCATTACTAATTTTCTCTTATTTACTATTATTAGTGATCTTTAAAGTACCTTTTTTCTGTTGAGTTTTATCTCTTGCAAAGGTTACTATTTCTTATTGCTCTTTAAGGGACTAATTTGAATTTGGCTGTCTCATCTTGTAATCTTAGTTTATGGTTATCTTCCTTTAATTTGTAAAGACAACTGTAGTCGCATTTTCGGAACAGACATTTATATTCGTAAGAACTTGATTTTTGGCGGGAAACTATGTTTGATTTCACCGCCTATACTTTTATGTGCTTTCGTTTAGCACCACTTCACTCGATTACCTTTTTTCTTTTTCAATGTTTTCCTTCATCTCAGGACTACACTCTTTTTGATATTATTTCTGATCAAAACGGCCGAATCCTCTCACTATCAGCCAATATCTTTGTTGTTCGTGACTATAATGCTCATCATACTGAATGACTTTGCTTTAGTGTTAGTGACTCTGCTGGTTTTAAGGCCCACAAATTTTGTCTTTCCTAATCTCTAAACAAACAGTAAGCTTTTTAACTCGTTTTACTGAAAAACCAAATCATTTACTTTCTTTACTCGACTTGTTGTCTTGTTTCTGATCCTAGCTAGTGCTCAGTTTCTCCACATGCAACCTAATATGCTTCTGATCACGGTTTGGTTTCTCTAAAACCATTATCTAAATTCTTTTTTATCACTACAGTCCCCGTACAATCCAACCTCTTACTACTGCCTTTAAGCTGACTGAGACTTTTTTTGTTAAATGTCATCGTAATGGCCCATGGGTAAAAATCTTTCTTCTTCTTGCTGATAAGTGCGCTTTTTTTATAACTTCTTGAACTCTGGCATGGATGTAATCTTTTATTCACTCTTGACCAATCCAAGTCAAGCCTCACTCTTCTCTTTGGTGTACCTCACATTGTGCTGCTTCAATTTCCAATTGATACTTCCATATCTATTTGCAAAATAATTCTCCAGAAAACAGTTGTCAGTTTACTATTGAGAAAAGCCATTGTAAAAAGATTTTGTCTAACGCAAAAACCCATTATTCCCAGGTCATGAAATCTTGTATTTCATCTCAAAAACTAAGCTCTCATGACTTCTGAAGAACCTTGAACAGTATCTATAATAAGGGATAATCTGTTATTCCACCTCTTTTGTATGGTACATACTTTGTTTTACCTAAAAATAAAGTCAATTTGTTTGCTAAGAACTTTTCATTAATATTGTCTCTGGATTCTAATAGTGGTGTTCTGAATAACATTGTTGACAAAAAGGTTAATCCATTGCTTGACATTTACATCGCACCAGCATCTCCATCTAAATGATTTCTTAACTCAGTTCTTCTTCAGCTTGTGATCCGGAAAACTTACCATTTATTGTCTTGCAGAAGTGTTTTCCGGAGCTGTCTTATACGTTTTGAAAACAGGATCTTTTATCCCTATTTTCAAAATTTCAGGATAGCTAACTTATTTGTCTTTTGACCGTCCTATTAGTCATCTTACTATTGTAAGTTGTCTTGCAAGGTTTTGAAACTTTAAATAACAAATACTTAATCTCTCATCCTGAATCTATAAACTTATTTTCTGATCAGCAGTGTGGATTTCGATATTCTTGTTCTATAGTTAATTTGCTATTAGTAATTACCGATAGGTTTCATGGTGAATTTGAAAAAAGTGAATAGGTTTAGGCTATTGTTCTTGACTTTTCTTAAGCTTTAACAAATTTTGTCATGCTGATTTTCTGCATAAGTTATCTTCTAATGGTGTATTAGGTAACATCTTTAAAATTATTGAATCTTCTTTTTGCAATCGTAGTGTAAACGTAGTCCTCGATGGACAGCAGTCTTCTTTATATCCTATTCTTCAGGGGTTCTTTAGGGTTCTATCCTTTGCCCTTTACACTTTTTAATTTTCAATAAAAATCTTTTAGATATTCTTATACCTATGGTGGCATCGTTCGCTGATGATACTACCATTTATTCTTGTGTTGATAAGAAGCCAACACTCTCTGGATGCTTGGAGAGGTAATTTGAGCTTTAAAAGGAACTCACTTCTCCAACAGTCTGGGGCTTACAGTGGCTGGTGAACTTAAAATCAGATAAAACCTAGTTTTTATCAGCCAATTGTTACCGCAATAATTCAGATCTTTCTATATTTTTGAACAGTATTGTACTTATTGATTCACCTACCTTTTATTTTTTAGGGTTAACTCTTACTTCTGATCTTTCTTAAAAACGTTATAATAATTCCCTTGTGAAACAAGCATCTGCTAAGGTTGGATCTCTTTATTGTGCTTGAAAATGTCTTACTCCGGATTCTATTCTTTATCATTATAAGTCTCAAATCTGTTCTTATATAAAACACTGTTGCCATATCTAGGGCGGTTCTTCTAATGATGCCTTTTTTTTAGACATGATGCAAAAACGCATTGTAAACATAAATTGATCTGCTCTAGCTACCAACTTACAACCATTATCACATCATTGCAATTTTGCTTGTCTTTCTCTTTTCTACAAATACCATAATGGGCACTGGTCTAAAGAGCTAGCATCTCTTGTGCCATCTACTAAAATTCATTCTCGTGTTACTCGCCATTCAATTAAGTCTCATCCTTTTTCCGTACCTATCATTAAGTGCTTCAAAAACTTTTATTTGTCTAGTTTTTTTTTCTTTGAACATCAGTTCTGTGGAATTCACTTCCTTTTTATAATTATATGCTTTCCTGATTTGTATATTTTACAATCTCTTAAATTTATCTGTCAATCGTGATTTTGCTATAAAAACCTTCTCTTTTCTTTTCCAGTAACTTCCACCTCTAATAGTAAGTTCTTTAAGCAACATACTATTAGAGTAATGTATATATATAGTAAACCAATATATATATATATATATATATATATATATATATATATATATATATATATATATATATATATATATATATATATATATATATATATATATATATATATATATATATATATATATATATATATATATATATAATATATATATATATATATATATATATATATATATATATATATATATATATATATATATATATATATATACGTAAAACAATTAATTTCTGTATATTATACCTTTTATTTTAACTTTAATAGACAATACTATAAAAGCAAAAAGAAAGCAGATGAATGGGAAGTATCTCAAAACAGCATCACTTTCATGGAAAAGATTGGTGAAGGAGCACATGGTACTGTGTTTCTTGCAAAATTAAATGAAAAGGTTTTTATGAAATCAAGATATACCAATCAAAAACTTGGAACAGAAAAACAACTAAAGAATATCAAGGAAAATGTAAATGTTGCAGTAAAGGTTTTAAAAGGTTTTTTTTTTTGTTAATTACAAAAGAGTTGTCTAGAATTATTACATAATTAATATAAAAACAGCTTGACCCATTTTTAACCATGTTACTCATAACTTAAGATATATGTGTGTGTGTATATGTGTTTGTGTGTGTGTGTGTGTGTGTTTGTGTGTTTGTGTGTTGTGAATAATATTTAAATACAGTTTAACACATTTAATAATTTTGGAGGTATAACATAAAAGTTGGAATAATTTATCACATTTTTTATCTAATAAAGATTTTTTATTTTTTTTTGGATATATTTGGAGTTAAATAGTTAATATTAATTAAATAGTTAATAAATATTTTGACGGGATGATTGATACATATGCTAAACAGGAGGCCAAAGAATATATTTTTAAAGATTAAATATTGAATTTAATAAAAATATTTAATATCTATATTTTTGAAATAACTTTTATTAGAATACTTTACAAAAATCCAGTAAAAATCCATTATTAGTAATACTGTTGGATAACCACTTAAGTGAGTTAATTAGGCTCGAATACTATGTGATAAATTATACAAGAAAATACTCAGTTATGATCTGCAAAGCAGGATATTTCATGGAAGGTTGTTGATTTGTTAAAGTTACTTTATTTATAGCATTAAATCATTTATAAATATGAAATTGGCATAGTAGAAACCTGTTTAAACCAAAATATTTAACTAAAATTTGTTTGAAACTATAGAATTTTGTATAGTGCTAGGTTTGAAGAAGCATTTAATGTTTAATGAAGCGTTAATTTTGTACAAAGGAGTACTTGAGCAAAAAATAACAAAAAATTGTTACTCTTCAAAGTATAAACTTTTTTTAGACCTTTACCACTTATATTGTATATATATTGAATTCTGAATATACATCTGAAAATACATTTTAAATTTATTTTAGTATGAAAATGTCAACTTTGCTTAGGCGTTTCAAGAACAAGCAAATTTTTTCTATTAATACTTGTTAAGTAGGTTAACCTTAATCCTAAGAGCTGCGTGTATATATAATATATATACATACATTTTTTACATGAATTTTACTTGATCAAACTAATCACTCAACAATAACATTTTTTAGAATTTTAAAACACTTAAAATCTGTAACAAACTGCTTATAATTTTTAAATTGAAACATATGCGTTATGTACAACCTAATATTGTTGTGGGTATAAAAATTATGCATTTATCTTCAAAATTAAATACCCAGCATTCATCACCCAGCAAAATCTTCATGCTTATTCCTTGCATGACTCATATTTGGCGCCGCAACCGGCCCAACGTTTGCAAAGAAGCATGGGTCATGGATCACCGTTCAATGCATGGTTTGTGGATGCATACCTACCCAGCTTGCACACTTACGTCATGCTAACTTATGTAAAACCATCGCAAACGTTGGCTGTTTTTTCTAATACAAAACCAATGTTGATCCAATGTCATTTGTTTAATGATGAAATTAATACCGACGGATCTGAAAACCGCTGGCACAATTACAGTGGTCCAACGTATTAATAAAAAACATCGCAAAAAACTGATATTTTTTACGATGAAAACCTAACGTTGTTTTGATGTTATTAACCCGACGTTAACTTTATTTGTACAAACAAACGCCTAATTAATGTAATTAAAAACATCGCAAAAAGTTGATTGTTTTTACAATCTAAACCCAAGGTTGATCCAATGTATATAACCCAACGTTGATTCAATATATATAAATCAACTTTGATCCACTGTATGTGAAAGCATTGCAAAAGTTTGATTTTTTTCAGTCTATTCAAACGTTGAATCAATGTGTATAAACCAACGTTGATTTAATGTATATACATACATTGGAACAACTTTGAATTTTATACAGTGGATCAACGTTGAGTTTGAATCGAGAAAAGGAACATATACAAATATGCATAGTTTAGGAGAATTATTTTCACTTAAATATTTCAGTTGATTATAAAAATATTTTTGCTAATATATTTTTCTCTTTTTTATGTTATAAAATATCACGCCACAAGCAAAACAAACATTAAAAATGCTTTTTAATCAAATAATATATAAAAATATAAACATATGTAATAATTAATAAAATAATTCGTCAAAATGGCTGAAATATGTATGTATACAGATGCCACCATTTGTTTAGCAGATGCCACCATTTGTTTAGCAGATGCGACCATTTATTTAACAATTCAAAAATTGACCTAATGGCAGTGATCAGGATAATTATCAGAAATATCAGAAATATTATTACTTTAAAATATAATTACCATGTCCGTAGAAACACTACGGACATTTACTGTCAAACTTTTTGTATCAATAACGTTTTTTGTCAAATAGAAAATGGGAACCTAAAACTAAACATATGAGCTGAACAAATACAATGGCTCATAACAAGAACTAAATGTTTGGTTAAATGTTTCGTGTTTTCTACAAATATAATTTCTTTAATTACTACAAAAATATTGTTATTTATGATTAGACAAACACTGCCGGTGTAGTATGAGAATTTTACTCCCGTGTTTTTTTTACTCCCAAGTAAAAATATCGTATGAAGTTTTTACCGCGGAGTAAAAAAAAATATCGTATGAAGTTTTTACCGCGGATTAAAAAAAAATTTCGTATGAAGTTTTTACCGCGGAGTAAAAAAAAATATCGTATGAAGTTTTTACCGCGGATTAAAAAAAAATTTCGTATGAAGTTTTTACCGCGGAGTAAAAAAAAGCATATGAGATTTTTACTCTCACTATTTTATTTTTACTCTCAAGTTGTTATTAGCGGAATTGCATATCAATAAAACATGCACTCTAGATTTGCAGACATTTTTAGTTACTTAAAATACCAAATATATCCAAAAGAAGTTTTAAATAAAGGCGATAAAGCCAATTTTAGAAGACAAACTAAGCCATTTATAGTTGATAATAATGAGTTATATCATTTAAATAAAGCTGCAAAGGTATGCTATTATTTCAAAATGTTTTAATAGTTTTGCCATTTTGCAACTAGAATCTAGTCACCAAATAAACACGAATATTTACAAATAATTTATTTAATAAATAATGAAAATTAATTTAGTTTTGATTCTCATTATATTGATGGTTTACAGCTTCTTTTTTTTATAGAGAAAAGTTTTTTGGAGTAGAGATGAACAACAAAACATAATAAAGTTTGTTCATGAAGGAAATAATGTCTCTGTTGAGTCTAAAGCTTTATCTGGTCATACAGGTATTAATAACACAACCTATCACATTCAAAGTAGATTTTTCTGGTATGGAATGATAAAAGATATTACAACTTATGTTTCCAAATGTGACCAATGCCAAAAGTCAAAGAACAGAAAACTTCAGTCGAAACCATTGCTGCAAAATATTTCAATTCCTAAAGGCATTATGAAGCAGGTAGGAATCGATTTAACACAGCTACCAGAAGTTAACGGTTGCAAATATCTGGTTGTATTAATCGACTACTTCAGTAAATGGGTTGAAGCAGAAGCACTTACCGATAAAACTGCTAAAGCTGTGGCTTTTTTTTTGTATAAACAGATTTGTCGACATGGCTGTTTTGAAATTCAAATAAATGACCAAGGTCGTGAGTTTGTAAATGAAATTTCTAAAGAACTTTACTCAAAAACAGGAACAATTCAAAGAATTACAAGTGCATATCATCCTCAAGCTAATGGATTAGTAGAGAGACAAAATCAAACAATTAAACGTATATTAGTAAAAGTGCTTGATGAGGCTGCTTTGGAATGGCCATACATTATTGATAGTGTTTTGTTTTCTTTAAGAGTTAAAAAGCACAAATCTACTGGGTTTTCACCGTTTGCATTGCTTTACCAAAGGGAAGCAGTTCTTCCTATTGATATAGATTGCAATTTAATTGACTTTAATGATAGTAACGCTCTTAGCAATGATGATTTCTCTAACAAAAAAATAGTTTCAGATACCTTTCATGCAATGAATAAAATGAAGAATAAAATTTTTGACGATGCTTATAAAAATATTGAAAAATCTCAAAAAAGACAATAACATGATTACGACAAGAGAATTGCACTAAATAATGAAATTAGCATAAATAAAAAAATATTACTAAGAAATAGCAGACGTGATGATAGAAAAGGTGGTAAACTTGTAAAGCCTTGGAATGGACCATACATTGTAACTTCTATTTCTAGCACAAATAACTGCACTTTAAAAAATCTAAAGGGTCAAATTTTAAAAACAAAGTACAACTTGACAAAGTTATGTTTATATAATGAAAAAATAACTAATGATGAACAAGAAATCACATTTGATGAAATTAATATGCAAATTTCTAATGATAAGATTGAAAAATATGCAACTATTGAAATGAGAACTTCTGAAAAATTTGGAATTGGTATTACCAAAAATATTTTTATTGCAGATATTAATCTACTTTCACGTCAGAAACAAATTCACAAAACCATAGGCGATGGTAATTGCTTTTTTAGGGCAATATCGTATATCATTACAGGCAGTGAATGCAGTTATGAAATTATAAGAGAAAAAGTTGTTAAACATATGTGTACTCATATTAATAATGAAATGACTTTATATATGAATCAATCAATAATAACTTATTTAAATGAAAGTGGTATGAGTGATAACACAACTTGGGCAACTGATGCAGAAATAATTGGGTGTGCCTCGTTCATGGGTATTGATATAAAAGTATATAGCAAATATGAAGAGAAGTTGAAATGGCTGACTTACCCATGTAGTTTAACACTTACACAGCTTAGTGAACATGCTGTATTCCTTGACAATTCAACTGCAAGTCACTTTAATGTTGTACTGTTGTAAAATACTATCAAAAAAAAAATAATTTATAAATTATCTTTTTTTCATAATTTTTAGACATTTTTTAAATATATTTTTATTTTAAGTCTGTAAACAAATGTTTTAAAAACGTAAAAATAAGCGAATTTACAACGGTATGTAGGAGAAGGAATAAAAATGTTTGCCTTTTTAAATTTGGTGGCAATACTTTTTCATATGCCTGACTGATTCCACATTAGTAAAGCGAAAGCAAAGAACCCAGAAATAAACCTATATAACAATATGTGTTTAATTAAAAAAAAAAACTTAACCCTATCTGATACATAGGGTAATCTACGATAATTTTTTTTTTTTTTTCAGATGTGAATTGTTAAATAAAAAAAGTCAGAAAGAAATAAAAAGCTGCGATTTTCAGATTCTGCAGGTTAGCAAGGTAAACTTGTTGTTTAGAAAACTCCTTTTCTAACAAGTTTGCAACAAGTACCATAGCCTAATAGTAAAATAAAACAATTTTGGATATTCCCCTTCATTTTTTAATAAAACAAGTACACATTTTGATCAAACAAGTACTTGCATATTCTATGATCTTTAAGTTTAAAAAAGATTATCTGTAAAATTTATATTTTCACCGTTTATTTAAAATAATATAAAAAATTTTACTCTCACTAAAATGTAGAAATTAAATTAAGTTAAAAAAGTTTATTAAAAGTTTAACTTTTATAAAATATATTAATTAAGCACTATATTAACATAACGGTAAAAATATCTAATGAGAGTAAAAATCTCATAAAGGGAGTAAAAATTTCATACGCATTTTTTACTCCGCGGCACAAATTTCATATAAAATTTTTTCAGGGGAGTAAAAAAATAATGGGAGTAAAAATCTCATACTACACCGGCCCTTATATAAAATATTATTAGCATGTTTCTTTGTAGCTTTTAGTAACGTGGTATTTGTGTTGAAGTCCTGTACCTTATTATTATTTTACTTAAAAAAAATTTTTCTTCACTTAAATTAATTAATTCAACTTAATCAACTTCTTCTAAAACCTTTTTCTTATTCTCGATTTCTCTCCGCAAAAGGCTTTAAAAAAAATAATAAACACAAAAAAATATAAAATCAATAAATGCAAAAAAATATATATTCAAAAAACACGAAAAAAATAAAAAAATTTATAAAACAAAAAAATATATATATGTATATATATAAAGTCAAAAAGATATTTCAAAGGAAAAATAGGCATATATATTATAAAATATATTCGATAAAATCGATGTCAAAACCAATGTGTAAAATTTTTTTTATTATTATGATCGATTATAAAAAAATATTTATATATATATATAAAAAATCGGAAACATTTCTTTAATTGTAAAGAGATTATATTTACTTATAACGCAGAAATAGTTTATAAAATTTGTAAATATTTATTAATTTGTAATAAAATAAAAAAAAATAAAAAAAATACAAACATATATACAACTAACTATATATGGCAAAAATTGTTAATATTTTATGTTTATATGTATATGCTTAACATAAAACAAATTAATTCAATTCCGATAAATAGTAAATACAAAGTTGTGCAAACGTTAAATATAACGTTAAATCAACGTAAAGCATTACACAATCTGACTTAAACTACATCGTTAAACCAACGTTATTTTTTGTTTATTGGCGACGTCGCATTTTTTGCTAAAACAATATAAAAACAAAGTTAGCGGTGGATGTTGGACCAACGCAACGCACAACATTGTTCTAACGTTTTATCAACGTATGTGTGTTAGCTAGGTAGATACATACATAAGTTGTAACCAAATAAATTAAAATAATATTTCCTATAAATCTGTTTTTTATTAATTAGAAGAAAGTTTGAGAATTCTAAAAAAATTTTGATTAGAAAAAAAATTTAGAAAATTTTTATGCAAATGATTGCAAAAGCCTTTAAGTATGATTGAAAATTGTTTAAATTGCTAAATCATTTTATAAAAAGCCTATTTACTGTTGTTTATTATTAAGAAGTCATTTAAAAACTTCAAATAACATGACTTTCAGGATCAAACTAACATTAAATAACCTGTTGAAGAGCTTCTTTTGGTTTTCTTACATTTTAATGAAAAAAATTTTTAGTAACTTTTAAAAAAAAATCAAGAAACACTGTCAAGACTACCAATTTTCTCTGCATGATATATAAAATAATATAATAAAATATACACATTATGAACAAAATGATTCTCTATATACAATATGTTGTGATTAATTAAAAAGTTTAACAAATTTGAACCTTGCATTAATATAGAAGACATGTATGTCTTTCTACATTATTGCAAAATGTAAAAAGAATATTTTTTATATGCTATCTAATTGGACAGTTATTCATCTTTTTATCTTCAAACTACACCTAAAGTTAAGGTGTTGTTATAGTTGGCAAAACAAACTAAACGCATACAAATTAAATGCATATAATTTTTTTATGAAATGATATTAATTTATAAATATAAGATACTATGAAAATAACGTAAAATAATAATATAAAGCTATTATAATGATTGTAATAATATTATATTTATTATTATACTTTTAGTAATTTAATTAATATACGTCTTAGTTGAATAATCACTCATAACTGCATCTTTTTCTATTTTTATTTTTTGTCTTTGTTTGTATAATGCAAACACGGAATACATTTGATAATCTGAAGCCAAATCTTCATAATTTATAAAGAAACAGACGTTATGCAGAAATTAAAAGTTTTTCTAAAAAAAACTATTCGTGCGCAACTGAGTTCTTTTTTTTGTTACTAACATGGTTTAAGTTGGGCAAAAGTAATGCAAGATTGGCAAAATCGGTCCAGTGTTGCTAATCGTAAAAAGATCTAGCCACATCATTGGTGCATGAATGGAATCACTGGCGCGGTGGTGTTGATCATAATCCAGTAGTAACTATGTCTAGACCATTCAGGAAAAATTTGCTAGGCATTTTTTAACGACCAAAAAAAAATTTGTAACAACCAGTTAAATTGGCAATACATTATGTACACATTGGTTAACTTTTTTAAACATTTTTTTGTTCACAGTTACAATTTTCTATATTCTTTTTAATCACAGTTACAATTTTCATATTCTTTGTTTATTTAGAAATTCTTTTTTGTTTAGTAAAGAATTACTATGATGTTTTATCCAATATTTATTTTGCACTTGTACCTAACTTTGGTAATAATAATGATAATAATAGTAATAATAATAATAATTATTATTATTATGATAAAATGCTATCTAAAATTTATATAACGATTATGCTTTATTTTTTTAACACAGAAGGTGCAAATGATTCTCAAGTGTACGATTTCTATGGAGAAATAAATCTGATGAAAGAAATTAAATATAATAAAAATATTGTTAATATGATAGGCTGTTCTACAATTCAGAAACCATTTTTTTTAATTGTTGAGTATATGCAAAATGGAGATTTGCTGAATTTTATGAGAAATAGACGCAATAAGGTAAGTATGAATATATATATATATATATATATAAATATATATATATATATATATATATACATATATATATATATATATATATATACATATATATACATATATATATATATATATATATATATATATATATATATATATATATATATATATATATTATATATATATATATATATATATATATATATATATATATATATATATATATATATATATATATATATATATATATATATATATATATATATATATATATATGTATTTTTTTATACAGTTTTTGTAATGAGTATAGGAAATTAATGGCTATATTTTTTATAATAAATAACTTTTTATAATTATGCATGATGATACATTGTTCTAACGTAAAAATTTTTTGTTGGTCAAATTCAGGTTTGAAAACTTGTTAGGCATTGGCCCAAGGTTGTGTACATCATTTGCCCAATGTTTCATATATAATTTACATAACATCGGATACCCCCAGGGTTCCATCGTAAGTGGTACATCGTAGTTACCCCCCTCAACCCCTTATTACGAGGAAAACTTCAATGTTCTAATCAAGGAAACTTTTGGCTCTTTTGTTATATCACTAAAAAAACATGCTTGCAGCAAATAATAGAATAAGATTATATGTTTATTTTGCATTTTAAATCACATCGAATTAAGCACAAAAAATGGTATAACCTATAGCACCATTTTTACCTAGCGCAATCAATATAATGTGAACACAAAATTAGATTATTAAAAAAAAAAATGATGCAAAGAAACTTTAAATCAATGGCGCAAACGTGTTTTTTCAGGAATAACTGTCAAAACGTAGAAAATAATGAGTTTTACTAAAAATTTCAAAAATATAGCCATAACTCTTTTTTTTTTCAAAAATAAATGCAAGTGTTCCAATTATGACGCTGTTCCGATTTCAACAACTCTCCTCTATATAAAATTTGAGTAACAAAGACATGCTAATTAATGATTTGCCTGAAAGAGTTTCATAGTCATCAAAAGCAGTAGAGAGTTTAAGTACTTTAGAAGAAAAAAGACAAGAATATACTTAAGCAAACTGTAACTATTTTTTTATGACCCACTTATGCATCTTATGTAAAGTCCTTATATAATTTATACACTTTAAACAAAATACTCTTTTAAGTTTTTTTGTAAATGAGATTTTAAATTAATTCAAGTCTAACCAAAAGTTACTCTAATTATTGCCAGGTTGTATATTTTTGCAAGTTAATTATTTGGGACAAAATGGTGTTAAAGGCAAAGGAGATTGTATATGTTGTTTACTAAGAATAGTTTTTTAAAATGGCCTAGCTGTAAAATTAGGCTATGCAGGGAGAGGACAAAAAATCAGAAAGGGAAAAATGTTGGTTGTACATGCTGCTATAAGTAAGTAGTTTAGAAAAGTTATTTTTTCAGTTTCAATTTTGTATTAGACAATTAGTTTCAACTTGTTATGTTTTTTTGGTTTATAATTAAACAAACAAAAAAATTTTTTGCAGAAGCTGTGAAGTCAAATAAGTATGGTTCATGCAGGCATTTGATGAGAGATGGTGGATAAAAAGATAATAAGCTATACACGATACAAGTAGCTCAGCCAATATTGAAACTACTCCATAAATTTTATAAAGAATTTTTTTTTTTTAACTCAATGTGTCATTTTTTGGTTTAAGTTTGGTGTCTATCTTGTACACAACGTTTTACCAACGCCTAACCAATGATCAAACCTGCATTAAGCCAACACCGAATTTCAATGTTGGGCAAATGCATTACCATGCATTAGCCCGATGTTGGTCCAATGTAAGCTTGCTGCTGGGATAGTACCATATTTGCAAAAAAATTGATTTGCAGAATTGAAATATTACGCCGAAAAAAAAAATTTTGGTTAAATGTTGGCCCAACGGAACAAATTTGCCAATATTAAAACGTATGTTGGGCCAATGTAAGCTTGCTGTCTGGGTATTGTCTCTTCAATTAATTTTATATCAAAAAAATTTTGTTGAAAACGAAATGACAAATAATTTTAAAAAGCTTCAGATTTTAACAATTATGGTATTTACTATTGTTTTTTCATAACTAAAACGCATTTAAATACAAGGTAAAGGTTATGAAAAGCTTTTAATCTTTTACATTTTCTTATTCAAATCAATGATTTAAATGTTTGACGATTATACTGCATAGCACTTTGCGGATCACACTAACTTGCTCCTAATTAACAAACCCTGTTTAAAAAACTAAACAAAAATAAATCGCGATCTTGATATTGTTCTATGGCTCTCTTCTAACAAATTATAACTTTTTTTCAGATTAAGTAGGCAGAAAATAAATTCAGGTAGCTCTATTAAATGTCTTCAAACCAACATGGGCTTTGATTTATATTTTGCATCGATTTGCAAGACTTAGCATAGAAATTAAGCATATCGAAAGAGATGTTAGCTAAAAATCTGTCATTATGTTAAATATGAAACTTTCATAATTAGTCTTCTCGTATATAGGCTGTATTGAAAAATCGTGCTTACCCTACAAAATACAAAGACTTTAAGACTTTTTGTTGATGAATTTTAAAAATAATGCTGCTAGATATGTTTTAGAATATTTTATAATGCTAATGCTACATATAAAACGATTTCATGAAAGAGAAACTGGACTCTCCTAATTAAAACTATAATTCTGCTAGGTACCTTAATTCAAAGGCAACTACAGTGTGTATATATATATATATATATATATATATATATATATATATATATATATATATATATATATATATATATATATATATATATATATATATATATATATATATATTATATAAATAGTTTGATTATTTGAAAAAATTTGTGATGAAACATAAAGTTTAATGCCCTTCGGCGATCATCAACCATATTTTATTCTTTAAATTAAAAAAAAATCATTAAAAAATACCCCGTTAAAAAATACAAAATACAGAAAGTAAAGAAAAAAACCATAACAAAGCAATGGAATGAGTTTTGACGTCAAAACAAACAATTTTTTAATTAGAAATTTGTTCAATAACCCGTGGTGAATAGGGCGAAAAGGAGCTTGTTTCGATGCCTGCACTTGGATACCATTTCACTTTTTTTGTCTAGCAGATTTTTTTTTTTGGAAAATAGAATTTCATATTTTTTGTATGTGCATAATTTGCAGGACTTGGGTTGTAAGGTCGTGGTTGGGTTGTAAGCATTGCACTGCCTAATTATTTTCCATTTGACAACTGGGTTTAAGTTGGCATCTTTCAATTTCCAAAATTCTTTTAATAATTCGGTGTCATTTTTGTATTTTAGAATGTTAAATGATTTTATATGATTGCCATATCTAATTTCGAAAAAAACAAACTAACTACATCAATACAGTGCAACATGAAAATTATTAGTTATCTTGACGTCACATTAAATCTCAACAACAATACCTTTCAGTTGCTTTAGTTTTGGAGGCATACAATTTTACTTTGCTTTATTATTTTTTATTTTTCTTCACATAAATGTTCTTTACATTCTTTTTATTGTTTTTTTTGCTTTCTAATTGCTGCTTACTATTTTTATTTATTTAATGAAAAAAATTTTAAAAAAATATATCTTGTTTTTATACTTTTGTCTGTTTTATGTATGACGTTTAAAAGTTGCTTTAGTTTTGAAGTACATTATATATATATATATATATATATATATATATATATATATATATATATATATATATATATATATATATATAATATATATATATATATATATATATATATATATATATATATATATATATATATATATATATATATATATATATATATATATATATATATATATATATATATATATATATGTCCTTGATTTATAATATAGAAAAATTGTATAAAAATGAGGACCCCAGTCAGGGTTGCTGTCCCAGGCAGGGCAAAAGCTCTCAGCGCCCCTGTTAGAAAGTTTCTCATTATGTCATTTCTGATACTTGACCGCACCGAGCGTTTTTTTTTTTAAACTTAAACTTTTTTGAAACATTCTCCCCAAATTTTTCTACTTCTAGTTCTACTTTTTCTGTGTGCAAACCATATTAATGTTATATAGCATCATTTAATGTGCTGTATATTTTATTTTTATTTTTAATGCACCTTTTGTTACTAAAAGTGGATAAAAATCTCTGAACATTACTAGAGTAAATTTATCTTTTGCACTTGATCACTCTTTCTTTAAATAAACACTCTTAGCTGATCTAGTTGTATCTACAACATAAAAAATTTTACAAACACACTTTGTCTTTTTATTGCTATTTATTTCAATATCTTTTTTGTACTTCTCTGTATTCATTAAACGAACAGTTTCTAAACTAAAAAAAACCCAAGTTAAGACCATTTTGTATTCCACTACAACTGTTGTGAACCTAGTGCTAAAAAAAAGTACAAATGATAGATTTCTCTCTAAATTTTTTTTACACACTTTTAAGTATTTTTTTTTTTATTATTTTTAACATTACACAACATAACATTTTCTTTAGCTTTTTTAATCTTTTACACTCTGAAATCTTACTATTCATTCTTCTTCTGTCTCTGTAATGGATAAATCTGCATCAGTATTTGAAATCAAATGTTAACTACCTGCGATAAAAGCTTCAACTCTATAGAGTGAACTTTAAATAAAATAATAAATAAAATACTTTATAATTTTTTTATTTATAATTATATTATTATTTACTTTATATTTATAAATAAACAGGGAATGAGCAGGCTGATATTTATTTGATTTAAATTGTTTATTTAATTTAAATAAATTTTGATGGTAAATATAAGAGCTCAAAGTAATCAAAGCTTCAACCTATAATTTATTTTAAATAAAATTTAAAAGTCTTCATAATATCATAAGAAGAAGTCAGAATATAGGTTTACATGTTTAATATATAAATTAAATTTAGAAGTATTCATAATGTCAATAAAAGAGCAAGGATAATTATTATCATTGTTTTTCTTTTTCTTTTAATTTATCTAGTTTTTGTTTACTTTTTTTTTTCTTTTTTTATTCACCTCATTTATATTTGATTTGCTTTTTTTTCCTTTTTGTTGTTGAGAGCTTTACGTTTCTTATGTGCTACTCCATTGACTAGTTTGTATATATATAAGTGACACCTAACAAAGTTTTGTAAATTTACGATGAAAATTTGTAAATTTTTATTAATATGGTTAAACAAAATTTTAAAAAATTAAACATACACACAATTTAAAATAGTAGCCACGTATCTTTAATCTTCTTTAAAGAGAGATTATTTGGTTTATATGTCAAATGTTAAAACCAAATTTTGTTCTATTTGCGGTAATCCCATACAATAATTAATATGAATTCGTTACATAATACAAATTAATGTTTTAAAAACTTTTAATTTGTTTATATATATATATATATATATATATATATATATATATATATATATATATATATATATATATATATATAAATATATAAAAATATATATATATATATATATATATATATATATATATATATATATATATATATATATATATATGTATATAAAATAAAAAGTATATATATTTATATATATATATATATATATATATATATATATATATATATATATATATATATATATATTATTTTAACTTTATATATATATATATATATATATATATATATATATATATATTATTTTAACTTTATATATATATATATATATATATATATATATATATATATATATATATATATATATATATATATATATATATATTTATATATATATATGTAATTTTAATTTTATTACTGCATATGAGTTTTAATCTTTTTAGTATTCTTAAAAAGTGTATCGTGTATCATTTTAATGTTTTAGTTTACTATTAAACGTTTTTTTATTATTCTGATTTCAATTTTCAAGTTTTTCATATAATTTATTATAAATAGACTTAAAAATTTTATTTTAACATTTTGTTTAGCTTTGCGTATCTAAGATTGATGGGGAGTCATCTATGAACTTTATATATACAGCAAGTTATCAACAATATCTTGAGGTTTTTCGTAGTTTTTTTTAAAATTCAATATATTTTTTTTTAGTAAAAATTTTTTTTTTTTGGAAATAAACCAAGTTCATTTTTTGATAGCTTATTTTATTTAAATGTATTATAGACAGCTGATGTGAAACCCATAAATTCACGTGTGCCAAATAATAATTCTTTAGACAGCAATGAAGCAATAACCCCTGATGATCTGCTTAGTTTTGCATGGCAGATTGCATCTGGAATGGTATGAACAAGTTTAGATAAAATGTTTTTATTAGGTTGTTTTTTTGTTTGTTTTTTAGCGTTGTCTTTCTTTACGTTTATTACTTTTAGGAATACCTTTCAAGTATAAAACTGGTACATCGAGACTTAGCTGCAAGAAACGTTTTAGTTGGCGCTGGAAAAAATGTAAAAATATCCGATTTCGGTTTAACTAGAAAAGTAAACGATGAACAAGTTTACGTGAGCATGCACACTCGGCGTTTACCTCTCAAGTGGATGTCAGTTGAAGCTATATTTGATCAGTTGTTCACATCTTTCAGTGATGTGTAAGTTTTGTTTTTTTAATAAAATTTTACTGTTAGATCAAATCAACTTTGAATTAAATAAAAATAAATGTATATATGCAGGAAAACACTTAAACATTCATTATAGTTTTACGTATACTTCATAAACTCATCTTATTAATGTGGTAGTGATGTAGTAGCAGAGGATAGCATTTATGAACAAAAAAATTGGAATTTTATCCCAACCAAATCTATAAAATTTACATGTTTAACTTGTTTTTATGCATAGAAACTTTGTAAGTCGAGTTTTTAGATTTAGATGTATAAAGTTGAGCAGGTTGGACAGTAAGGAGATA